AGGAGTGATTAATCACTAAATTACACAAAGGGGCTGTGTTCATGATCTTCATGGCATGCAGGAACCGGCTGGAACCAGACTGCAGCGCCAGGTAAATTTTTTCCAAGTCCCAACAGAGCGGCCCACCACTCTGAAGTTGCAAATGCGATATTCTGGCCACAGAGGCCGGTGGGGGTCTGAGTGATATTTCATCAACCTCGTAAAGCAGGGCTATTCAATTCAGCATCCAACACATTTTGGTTTTAACTCCGCTTCAACACCTGATTTCAATCAGCAGGTGATTAACAGGCTTCTGCAGAGCCTGGTGAGCTTCTGCACAGGTGATTTAACCACTGAATCTGGTGTGTTGGAGCAGAGAAACTACTAAAACGTGCTGCATGCCGGCCCTCGAGGCCCAGGATTCAATAGCTCCGTCGTAAAAGGCTCATTTATGCACACACTGGCTCAAGAAAATGATTTGAAAATATGAAAACGTTGCATGGTGTCTCTTTAAGAGTTTCAATTTTCCAGGGCATTTTATTTATCTTTAGGCGTGATATTTATTTAATATTATTTATGTTACACCTGGACTTCACAGATGTCCACTCGGGTGGGCGGAATGTGTTTTCACTGTCACAGTTATGCATGAATGAGGAAAGCCATTTGTGTGTGTTTTTTTTTTTTTGTTTTAAAGGGACACACAATTATTTTATGCTGCAACGTTGGTCTCTACTTCCTCAATAAACACTCCAAACATAAGAACGTCCTTCTGGTTTCTGTCCATGTTTGGTTTTAGGAATGATGTGCCTAAAGCAGGCTGTTTCACTAAGTCCCCATTTATGACATCACAAACGGGGAAATTAGACTACACTCTTGTCTCACGTGCAAGACCGAGCTGCTACAAGAGGAGCAGCGGCTCGACTATGAGCCCCTCCTGGAAATTTGAGTTTTTCAGCTTATAGCAGCCTGAGCAGGAGATGGGTGGGCGTGGCCAGCTCCAGCTTGTTTAGTGACAGAGTGTTGAAACAGCTCATTTTGGAAGGTGCTGAAGCTGTTGGGATCACTTTATGTGAGAGGGATTTTGGGCAAAGAACTTCATCAACAAGTTTTGTATCAACCACTTAATTATTATAACTTTAAAAAGTCATAATTTGTCCCCTTTCAGACACTCAACTCATTGAGGCATAAAGATGCAGCTAAGTGTAAGAATAAGCCAGTGTTGTGTGGACACATGAAATAATAATACATTTGATGTTTAAGCTGTTTGAGATTCTTTCTCAGGGACAGAATTTGTTCTCCTTTAGTTGATAACATGACAAATACCACGGATAAGACCGTTTGACACATTAATTGGGTTTTAGCTCAAACGAGGTGAATCCCAAAGAGCTATTAGCTGGAAACCTGACATATAGATAATCAACTGAAGGATAGTGCATCTCTCAGGTCTTCTTTCATGTTTGATGGATTTTTTTTTTCTGTTGTTCTCTGACACAAATATAAGAAACCGTTTATCTAGATTCAGACGCGACATTTCTTCTGTCACGGTCTACTCTCATCATTTGTGCTGTCATGGACGAATGTGAAGATTGGACTGAAAATGATGGAAAAGCAGCCAAAGTCTAAAGAAAACCTACCTAAATTCTTCAGAAATGCAATTGTTTACGCAAATTAATTCAAATAAGGGTGTGATGAGCTGCTGAAAAGAGCTGCACTGTTTTATCATTTTACGACTTTGTTTTTCTGATTTAATCCGTTTTCATTACGATTTTATGTCGTTTTGTTTTGTTTTGTTTTGATTCACGTGAAGCACTTTGGGATTCTGTGTCTGTGATGAGTGCTATATAAATAAAAACGACTTCCTTACACTCGAGGACCGGGTTTAGCCTGTTTAGGTTAGCTAGACTGGACAGAAAATGAGTGAAAAGTGATACGTTTTCCCAAAATAACGACTTAAAGAGCAAGTCACTCCAAATCACCATTTTTTTGCTGATAAACTATATAAATGAGTGTCCAATTGTGCTGCAGACACGTGTAGTCAATAATTCGGCACTTTAGTCCATCTTAGTTAAAATTTAAATATTCTGCCTAAAACTGTCAGCGATGCACCGTCGTCAGGCAAAAACTCTGCACTGCATTCAAATTTAAATCTGCCGCCGCTATTGGCTAAGAGGTACACTATGATGTTAGATGGTACATTATGATGTCACAATGTCATGAGTGTGTGTATTTGTTAGCGACTCCGCCCTCTCAGTCTGCTAGGCTACATCATTTGTGGTATTTTTCAAACAGGAAGTGGGAGTGGAGTAAGACTCTGGTAGGGGGTGACTTGCTCTTTAGAGCTCTTCAGAGTCTTACCCCCAAATTCCACTACCTCCGCTCCGCTCCGCTCCGCCCCCGTCTTCCGCAGCCGCTCGCTTCCGAACTCAATTTTTCTTGGTACCCGCTCTACAACGGCTCCGCTCCGCTGCGGAGACCTGAGGTGCACAAACAAGCATGCGCGGGATTTTCGAGATCTTGCGATACAGTCCGAGCAATAAACGCGGAAGTTAGATCCAAACACCCGTTGTGTGGGAGAAGCGTCAGCATGAACTGTTTAATCTGCCCATCATTTGTGTTGAGAGATCAGCAGTGTTTGGATCAACAAAGTGTGACTACTTTGATAGTAGAAACTGTATTTATGGCTTACTTTTGTGCATTTAAACTTCCGCCGCCATTGATAGTTGTTAAAAGTTGTTAAACCTGTGCATATGAAACAAAAAACGCCTTTTGTTGATCGATTTATTGTGAAAAACGGAAGTTGTGCTTGCTCCTTTTCCTGTTGGGCGGTTGTGATTCCTGTCCATTTACTGCGGAGGTGCTCCGGCGTCCGGCAAAAATAGGATCGATTCTATTTTTGCCGGATGCCGGAACAGAGGGCGGCGCATGGCGCCGCACTGCCGGAGCACGGCCGCAGTAGTGGAATTGCTCTGATTGACTACAACAGGACCGATTTTGCTCCGGCGTTTGTGTCGGAGCAGAGCGGAGCGGAGCGGAGGTAGTGGAATTTGGGGGTTACTCAACTCCCAAAATTGTACCAGCCCCAGCCAGTCACAGATTTAAAATGCAGTAGCCACAGTTCAACCCACAGGGGAGGTGTTTGTAGACCTGTTTACACAAACATGTCAAAAAAGCACAGAAACAGCAAGATTACATTTGTAAAGACCCAAGTATAAAGTACTCTGTAAGTGCCCTTGATGTCTAAAGCTGCTTTAGAGAATCTGTAAAACAAGTTTTGAACGCAATCATAGAACTGGAAACCCGCAGTGCCAGAGGAAACGAGGTAGCGCTAAACACCAGTCGCCGTTAGGTCCAAACATCTTTTATTGTCTGTGACTTCAGATGGCGTTTTTCTTTCTGGGACTCTGGTAGTTTGTCCTAAAGCTGAAGCGGTAGCAGCCGGCTTTTTCTTCTCTGGTATTATTGAGCGGAGAACCTCCCACAGCAGTTCTGCTGCTACGTACGCGAGTGTGTGACGAGTGGAGGACCCAGGGAAGTGCGGCGAGGCCGACAACTGGCAACACCGGTTGGTTGCTTGTGGTCTGAAACGTGTGACTGGTCGGATGCGAGAGAACCACTTTAATTATTTTGTTCTTTATGAATCTCAAATGTAAATTTGTCGTTGAGTTGCGTGGAAAATGTTTTAAGCTGATTGGTTTTCCGAATCGGGCATTGCAGCTGTAACTCTTCAGAGGTAAATCAGTGGTAACGTATTGGACTTTGGCTGCTTTAGTTTTAATGATCTGTCCTTAAACAATAAAGACTGAAACGTTTAAAAACCCAGAGCTCCTTAGGGAGAGCTCTAGTTCCTCGGGGGGAAAACAGAAACACATCGGCCGGTTTAAAACTTTATAAAAAAAGGACCAAACATGCTGGAGTTACACAAAACCTCCTGTTGCATCTTATGAAAAAATAAAAGTTACCTGGAATTTATAGTTTTAACATAGAGAGCTGAGATCTGAGCTGCAGTGTTATGACACACCGCGTGTCTCTGCAACTAACTGCAATCTGCTCACACACACACACACACACACACACACACACACACACACACACACACACACACACACACACACACACACACACACACACACACACACACATTGGGTGACACTCACATGTGGATCCACAGACTGGTGTGGCGCCTCCGTTTTGCTTGGGGAAGCAGAAAGAGGCGATAGGAGGCAGCAGGAGAGAGGAGGAGGAGGAGAAAAAAGCCAGGACGGTGAGGGAGGGATGCAGGGAGTGAGCCAGTGATGGATGGATGGAGGGAGGGAGGGGAAATGCAGAGGGACGCGAGGGAAAGGGGGCATGAGAGGGCTGAGTGGCTCTAGTAAATATTTATATTGCATTATGATAGGCGCGACAGTGAAGGGGGGAGAGGGGGGAGGCAGAAAGAGGGACAGATATAGAGCGACCGTCCCTTTATTAATTCTATTCCGGACCGCTAAGTTTAGCATTCAACACGTGTCGCCAGAGCTGGAGAGAGAGGGATGGAGGGAGGGATGGTGAGGGGAGGGAGCGCGAGAGATAGAGGGGGAGAGAGGGAGGTTGACGGTTGCTAGGTGACGGGGCGCATATACTGAATTTTAACAAAAGAACAGGGAAAGAGGAAGAGCTGGAGAGAGTGTGTGAGAGAGAGGAGAGGAGAGAGGGAGGGAGAGAGGTGAAGAGAGAGAGAGAGAGAGATCGGAGTACATGTAGCATATATATATATATATATATATATATATTTATACAGATACCGGTATATATTTTCACAGCGTGCGTGTGTGCGCGCGCGCGTGTGTGTGTGAGGGAGAGTGGCGGCTGTGGCGGCGGTGGGGGGGGGAATCCCGCAAAACGGATACCTCAAAAAGCAAGGATGTGAAAAAGGATGGAGGGTCGCAGGAAACGAGGGGGGAAAGGCTGCTGAGACACAGTAAGTACATCCATCTGAATCCTGTTGGCGGTGCGCATTTTTCTCCCTCTCCTGCCGCGCAAACACACACGGACTCGGCGCGACTTGGATTAATTGCGGCTTGGTCAGTGAGGAGACGCTGCGCGTCATCGAGTCGGGAATAAGGGGGCTCGGATGTGGGCATCTGGACTGACGCTCGTGATGGAGGGATGGATGGTCGGGGATGGAGAGGTGGAGACGGCCGGCGCACCGGGGCTTTGACCCTTCTGTCATTGCTGCGCCTGAAAACTCTACAAACGCAAAAAGGTCACTTCCAGCAGATGGATGGATTGTCCAGTGAGACACTCACGCACGCAGTTTGCCGGCACTTCAATCAATGCCCAAACCTTCCGATATCATTTTATTTCCAAGGATTTATAATCAATTATATGAATAAAAAACAGAGTTTGGCTTCTGTTTGGAGCCTTTACGCATCCAAACTGGACGCAGCGTTTCCTTTTTACTTTGCTGCGGATGTTTTTGTGCAGGAAATCTGTTGATGTTCGTTTTCTCCACATGCGTGCTCGGGCTGTAGTGCGTTTGTGTGCGTGAGCGCGTCTGCTGCCTGTTTTTATGGTGACCGAAAGATTACCGATCAGTTTTTTTTCTCTTTCTGATCTATTTATATCCCGATACGTTGAATATCGGGGCGTATGGCGGCACGTTCATCCCTCTGCTGCCACCGAAGAATCATCCCCGACGGGGTGACTTACCTCGAGCACGCTCAGACAGCTGGAACAGGCGTCTTTTTCCTGGAGTGTGTGTGTGATTTTACCTATGAATCCACTCATTTATGGAACTTTTACTGCCTTGGGTAGAGACGAGCCCAGGGCCTGATCGTTAGCTAATATTTTTGATAATCAACAGAATGAATAAAGGGCCCTGGACCCTAAAGACCACCAGGGGAGACCTGGAACAGTCTTGCTTCTCTCCCAGATTTACTGCAGTGCTCCAGAGTGACATTGTCAAATTTCCGGGCCTGCACCATCAGGCCACCGGATGCTTTTTAACATTTGAAGTGAATGCCTGATTTTTTCTGAGGTCCATTCGTCTCCTCGCTCCATCCTCCTGCTGGATCCTTGGTTTCTGTTTGCTAACAGGTGATGCGCTCTGTGCCGTCCCCAAAGCCCTTTGAAATTTTACGCACAGGCGTACTGCAGCAGTGTGTTCTGCATGCACCGCTGCCCCCCCCCCCCCCCCCAAAGTGTTGCCTTCAGAGTGCCCCTTCTCTGTCGAACAGTTTGCCCAGAGAGCTCTGTACTGTACCAGCTGTGGGGGTAGAGGGGGTGGGTGGGTGGGGTGGGGGGGGGGGGGGGGGTGATCAGAAAGTCAGAAGGTGCGGAGGGAGTGAGAGATGAGAGAAGGTGAGAGGAAGAGGAGGTGTGTGTGTGTGTGTGTGTGTGTGTGTGTGTGTGTGTGTGTGTGTGTGTGAATGAATCTCAGAGGAGGACATGGTTGGGAGGCACTCCAGAGGAGATGAGAGGAACAGAGTCAACATTTGTGAGCTACTCCAACCCCGTGCTCCTCATCAATTTCATCTCATTGATTCTCTCACTTTAGCTCAGAAAATCTCCCAGCTTAGCTCAATCACCCCCCCCCCCCCCCCACCAATCCCCCTGTTCCTCCCCGCCTCAATCTCTTCCGTCTTTTCTTTCACCCCTGCAACCTGTGACTTCCTCTGCACCGTTTCCTCTGCCAATTCTTCTTCTGCCTCCCCTTTCATCATGTGTTTGATGCAACATTGGTGGGAAGTTTCCTCAATCCTGCACCCCCCCCCCCCCATCCTTACCCCACTTCCCCATCCTCCCCACACGTGGCACCCAGTGTTCTTTTTAATGCCACTAATTAAGGTAAAGCTCGTTAACACAGAACATCAATTAGCCTTTAACGAGATCAGAGGCTGCTGTTTTGGAGCGATTACAGTTCTGCTTCTCCCAGAGTCTCCGGACTCTCCTGCAGACCAGAACACTCAACGTTCCCCGAGTGGAAGCAGGGTGTGATGTGACATGGGATGGATTTGACCAATTATTTCTCTGCAGTTTCCCTACAGATAAAGCAGCCCTCTCAAAGACTTACTCACAGCAACAAATAAATTAAACTATTTCGCTTCAAATCTGCAATTTCTTCAGATTACATCTCTCGCTGCAGCTCATTAAATGAATCCATATCATTTGGGGGGGAAGACCGCTTCTTATTAAAATCAGCCAGGAAGCAGTTTAGCAGACGGCGTGTTCTCTAAAACCTGAAAGTCTTCATTGCATCCCAATTTCATTTTAACAAAGAAGTGGTTCGATTTAGTCTTCTGGCACCTCTTCACGCGTAGGACGAGATGCTAAACAGTTACGAGTCAAACTACAACAAACATTTCTGATTGATTACATCCTTTTGAGAAAATATCGTATTTAAAATCAGTTTCTGTTCATGTGAAATATCCAGAAGATTTTTTGTCTGATTTATCAGATTTTATCACCTTAACCTAAATAAAATGTTGTTTTATGACTCAACTGAAAACTAGGAATGTTCGTTTTTACTTCATCCAATAAATA